TTAGCGAGCCTACTTTTCGACCGTCCGGAGCCCCAAATCATTGGAAAAACACAATGTTTCGCGACTTTCCTACCTTTTCACGCATCTGCATCTTCTTTCTTCTTACTCTTCTTTCTTTCGACGAATACACAATTACACTCCACTACACTCAATTACACTACACTACAAGGGCCCAGTCCGAAGATAACTGGAGGCCTCAACACGCAACATGTAGAGCATCAAGAAAGGTCATGAAATCAAGAAATACCATCAAATGTTAATAAAAATGCCACGAAAAATGATGAATGGATCAGTTCATCCGACTAACATCACACTAGGAGAGGCACCATCCAGCAAGCAAATTGGGATCCCAAGTAGGACGGAAACCAGCAATATTAAAACCACCAATCAGATATACACATTAGTACTATATAGGTTGCCTATCAGATCTTATGATTATTAACTATTGTCAGTTTTGTCAAATCAAAAGATATTACGCACTTTGAGGTTTGAAATAAAACGTCATGCCCGTGCAGGGCATGTAGTGTATCATAGTCTATCTAGATGTTTGCTTTGAATATGCCCGTGATCCTACGCACACAAGTGGAAGCCGCGAGTGGTACAAACATCAAAAAGGACGAAGCGAACAGGTACAACATCATTAAACCATGTAAATAAATGATTGTAAATTATGCATAACTGCATAACTATCATCAACTATCGATATACTGCTGGCTTCTCCATTGGATTATTCAGTGCGTGACTCTGGCCGCATTCCCATTGCTTCCCACCGCTTCCCAAAGCTTCGACCCATTCGACAATGCCGCTGACAAGGCGCCACTGGGTCCTTGTTCGATCAAGGCTTCCACCTTTGGAACAGTGATTTGTTGCCCGGTGAGCAAATGGGTCTGTCTGAAAATGGCCATGTTTATGTTGGGATAATGATGATTCATGATTAAGCATCAATTTTTCGAGAACTTGATCTTCAGACAAAACCAAATATAGCACATTATATATACTTATATTATATATGTAGAATAGTATAGAAAATATAGACATTGACATACATTGACTACAAGGTACTTGATGCTGGATGTCACCTCTGGATTTTTGAACCAGAAGGGAACCATTGGTCAAAAACTCACCCGCCGAGGTGATGAATGGCATCGCGGAACAACAATTTTCAGTCTGTCGACCACAACGTTGCGACAGCTGAACACCAATCTGAATGGTGACAAAGAAAACCATGGAAAACCTTTGGAACTAGATATGTCATGATAGTTCGCCCTATTTGGTCGCTTCGGAATGGATGGACTACATATGGGCCACTAACACCGACAGGAATGTGGGATTTAGACATGATTTATCCATGAAGACTGGGGATAAACCATTAAAAATAAAGGATAATAAAGGATTGATAGAATCGATGGGGGTAAACACCAACAATCAATGGAGATCTAGTCCGGTGTCATGAAACATCGCCAGCTGTGAAACCTCTGAACTCAATGAGCATTGAAATGGGCAATGCCTGACTGTCAATGCCATGGTCAAGTTTCATGAGATAGTCATCCTATCCTCATACTCTTATAGTGGGTATATTAGCCAACTATACATGGGGGATAACCATCCACTACATAGATTCTTGAATAAATATCTAATGTTGTCTAACCAATACTGATATCTTGGCAATAGTAGAAACTTTTTTCCCAAGTCCAGTTTTATTTCCAATACTAAAAGTCAATTAGCTTAATTTAATTTTAATATTACCAAAAAACTCATGTTCTGACCTTGTCCAGAGGGCATGGCCAATAGTGGACCCAACATGGCAATAGTGGAAACTTTTTTCCCAACTCTAGTTTTTTCTCCAATACTAAAAGTAAATTAGCCTAATTTAAATTTATTATTGCCAAAAAAACTCATGTTCTGACCTTGTCCAGAGGGCATGGTATAGTATCCAATATTAAAAGTTAATTAGCCTAATTTAATTTACTATTGGAATGCTGACCCCCCCTTAAAAAAATAGGGGGGATGTTATTATTAGGCAGCCAACATTACTATAAATATCTATAAATTATAATTAGGCAATGTCTTGCACACGGCGCATATAACACCAATCACCACAATGACGGGCCCCTACTGTCATTCTACTAGGGATAATTCTATTGTAATACCATGCAATCAACATTGATTTGTGGCCGTAGAGACGCCCAGACGCCCTGCCACATGCAACTTCTTTTCAGCACAAAGTGAAGTCATCTTCTTAGCAGGTCGGCATTTTACATTGGTCAAACATGTCAAATGCACCAGAAACTTCAGGCATAGGGGGAAGCTTTGCCCCTTGATCTGCCAGTGGAAGTTTTCTCAGTTTCAGTCATTGTCAGACTCCTCTTGTTGCTGCTCCTCCCCGTTCTGCGATCCTTCCCCATCATGTGAATCTTCTGCATTCGATAACCATGAAGAAAATGACAGTGGTGAAAATTGGTCCAGCGACATTGCGCGGACGAAGTCCATCAGATCAGGTTCGTCTTCCGATTCACTGTCTTCAAGTTCACTGCCTTCTTCCATGGAAAGCATGCGTCGCAGATCGTCATCCAGTTCGTTGCTGGGACAAACGGCTTCTTCCCCTGAGACTAAGAACCAAAGCGCCCCAATCATGACCACGATGCACCCGATGTAGCCCAGCAGTTTCCACCAAGGTGCTCCGTCCATCTCCTGCAAGATGATGAGTGCACTGAGGCTGTTTGAGACAATGTTGGACCCCTGGAACACCGTCACCATATAGAGAGCTTCGTATTTCTGCATGCCCTTCGCCATGTATGGCGCATTAACCACAGCGAAAAACACCGCTCCAGTCAAAACAATCCATGGGAGCCAGTGCCCCCAGGGGCTGCAAACGTGTGCAGAAGCGCAGTCAGCTGCGAAAACTGCTGCCACGCGCGTGCACCACATGTTCCCTGCCATGGAGCCTGCAGTGGCTCCCAACGAGAATCCTCGTAGCACTGAACCTTTCGCCGAACGTCTGCGAAGCCACACATTCACACAGAACCACAGAGCAAAGACCAAGCAGTAGACCAAGACGCTCCATCGCAAGAGAACAGTTTCAGCACGTTCTAAGGTCCAGACCTCTTCATCTTCATTGTGATTTTTGAACAGCATCGACGCCGTGGCCGTGATAAAGATGATGGCGGATGCAATCAATCTGCAGGGGTTCAGCATGAGTGCGACTTTGCAGAGCAAAGAATGAGGAAACAAGTTGAAGATAAACCCCCTGTGAATAAACGAGTGGTTTACCCATCCTAGGTTAGTAGGTATCATCTGGCAACATCCATGTTGTTGGCACGGAGAGATGGTCTTAAGTGGGTTTAAGTGGTATTCCTCTACCAAATATTATGTTGGTTTTAAACCCGTGTGGGCCCTTCACGAATTCAAAAGCCCGGGTCCTGCGGTTTGTGAGCTTCTCACCTAAGGTGAAGGGAGCAATGACAGCATTGATCACCTGGCACGATTGCTTCGCACCCATGGCACCCAAGAATCAGTTGATTGGCAATTGGATTTCATCCTATCATTTGGAAGATGGAAAATAGAAACATGTCATGACCTTATGTTACAGAAAAATCCTCAAATAGGAAAAAAACATGAAAACACTGAAAAAGCATCATCAGATAATCATTTGTGTTAAGTATATACTTTTTTTCAGTGGTGGAAAATTCAGCATGCTTGTCGGTGACAAGACATGATCTCGAATAATTCCAGCCGAAAAAATGTGATCCTTCCTAGGTAGTTCACCATGCTTGTTTCCGAAAAACTCTTCCCCGTTTGTTCTTTTCAAACCTAGTGACAATATTAACGCCAGAAAATGGTGCAAGGACAGCAGCCGCCGCAAAGGCATAGTCAGCGACATCAAACAGAGGGCCAAGCAAGATGTTCATAGCCTTGGAGCTGGCTGAGTCTGGGCGAACAAAGTCGTCTAGATTGATGGTCATCATCTTGCCGATCAAAATCTTGCTGCAGTGAACATCAGTGTGTTTTGCAGCCCATCCCCAAGTGGTCATTATACTATCGATCAGAGGGAGAAGGGCAAGGGAGCAGTCCCGGCCACCAAAAAAGTACTCCTCTTTCCCTACCAATATCCCCTGTTTTTGCGGGACCTTCAAATGAACAAACCCATCACTCAGGGATTTGTTGAAACATCAGTGATCTTCATCATGTAGATCATCCACTTTGCTGGTTGATTTTCCAGTCATCAATTCACAGGAAGGCCCCCTCCAAAAAAACATAAAGGACCGGATAACCCCACATGTTAACAACTTCTCCAGACTTAGACGGAGCACAGAGAAGCAACCAGGGAAGAGGAAATATGAGAGTGATGGAGGGGTGATGGTGGGTGAGTTTGCGTGTGTAGGTATGTATGTGCATGTACAGGTGTGTCACTTTGGTAGGAGAGTGAGAGTGAGAGTGAGAGTGAGTGTGTGAGTGTGTGAGTGTGTGAGTGAGTGAGTGAGTGAGTGAGTGAGTGAGTGAGTGAGTGAGTGAGTGAGTGAGTGAGTGAGTGAGTGAGTGAGTGAGTGAGTGAGTGAGTGAGTGGAGTGAGTGAGTGAGTGAGTGAGTGAGTGAGTGAGTGAGTGAGTGAGTGAGTGGAGTGAGTGAGTGAGTGAGTGAGTGAGTGGTGGGGTGGGTGGGTGGTGGTTGGGTGTTGGTGGGTGGGTGGGTTGGGTGGTGGGTGGGTGGTGGTGTGGGTGGGTAGTGAGCTGACGTGATGCTTGAGTGCTTGCGTTGCGTGACACGTGAGTGAGGGGTGGCGTGATTGCAGTGCGTGAGTGATTGAGTGAGGTGAGTGAGTGAGTGAGTGAGTGAGTGGATTGAGTGTCTGCTGCCGTGCCGTGCTAGTTGCGTGAGTGAGGGAGGTGAGTGAGTGAGTGAGTGAGTGAGTGAGTGAGTGAGTGAGTGAGTGAGTGAGTGAGTGAGTGAGTGAGTGAGTGAGTGAGTGTGGGAGGACAGGCGGGAGGAGGAGGAGGAGACTGAGGAGAAGGAGGAGGAGGAGGAGGGAGTGGATAGAGCACTAAAAACAAAAACCCCACACGTCAATGTGGGGAAATATTCCCAATCGATCCAGCAATTAAGATGAAAAACCATGAAACAACATCAAACATCTTTTGCAACTCCAGGTCACCATGCCCAGGATGAACAATTTGCGGCTCTCCCCGAGTTTCTGCTCTTTCTTCTTGAGTTCAGACATGCGGATCATTTGCATTCCACATGTCCCCATCGTCAATCCGAAAACGACCTTGGAGTGGGGCTTCCAAAAACAAAGACACATAATCACACATACTGTTACTTAGTGCATCTTAGTGGATACACCGCACCACATACAAACTGTATATATAATCTCATATACATTTTACATTGGCTTGGGTTTGTCTGAACATGGGTACACCCCAAATCCACGCGTGAAATCGTCACGTTCCCCAAAAAAAGGCTATATTGTAAGAATATCCGCATTTTCAGACACACCAATGTGGTGGGTTTACCAATGGAACAAAAAAAACTAAATCAAACCCAGGTACTAGGGCCACTCCCATGACCCACCGCATGGTGGGAAAAATCTGAAAAATTTGCCGGCGCAAGTTGGGAAAGCAACTGCTTGGTCTTGAGCCCTCGCAAGAACAGTTTAGTTCTACCACTGATGCATCCTCCGCTTCTTGAAGTCATTTTGATTTAAATTGCTTTTTTATTTTGGTTTACTTCTGCTGTAAGACAGTAGTACCAGCTTGAACAAAATAGCATGCTGATTTCAACAAACATATGTTTTCGGCGTTAGCAGCTGCAGCATGTGCATGAACTCAGCCACCTGTGGATCATTGGCCCATTCCAAGATCTTGTCTTTGGCGGCAGATGCAACCTTGGAACCACAGTTTTCAAGCTTTAACAACCCATGGGGACCAGAATCATATCGGATGTGTGTGGGGGGGTAGGGAGGTAGGGAGGTTAGGTAGGTAGGCAGGTCAGTGGGTCTGTAGATGAATATGTACGTCTGTATGTATGTATATTATAAATACTGTATAGGGTGATTCAGAATTTTGGGTGTAAATCTCTACCTGATCTGTATTCTTAATATATATTCAATTTATAATCATCCTACTCCTATCCCATATGTAAATGAATGCCTTCTCTGCTGACAGCAAACTCCACTGGTATCAACAATTTGAACACTTTATAATTAAAGCAATACCAGTAGTACCGCACACGGCGGTGGCGGAAGTTTCAAAAATAGGAAACCTATAGGAGAGGTTGGTTGTTGTGAATCACGGATGGCAGAGCGAATCCACTGATGGACCAAAAGGTGCTTGATGTCTCCTCTCTTTCTCTCTCTTTCTCTGACTATCTACCTACCTACCTACCTACCTACCTACCTGTCTATCTATCTATCTATCGATCTATCTCTCTCTCTCTCTTTCATCTGTCTATCTGTCTAGCTGTCTACCTGTCTATCTGTCTATCTATCTATCTATCAATCTATCTATCTATCTATCTCTCTCTCTCTCTCTCTCGCTTTCATCTGTCTATCTGTCTAGCTGTCTACCTGTCTATCTGTCTATCTGTCTATCTGTCTAGCTGTCTATCTATCTATCTATCCATCCATCTATCTATTTGTCTACCTGTCTATCTGTGGTGCAGTGTCATTCAGTGTAATGTAGTGTAGTGTAGTGTAATGTAGTGTAGTGGAGTGCAGTGGAATACAGTGTAGTGTAGTGTAGCGTAATGTAGTGTAGTGGAGTGTGATTTAGTGTAGTGGAGTGTAGTGGAAGGTAGTGTAGTGTAATGTAATGTAGTGGAGTGTAGTGTAGTGTAGTGTAATTGAGTGTAGTGGAGTGTAGTTGTGTAGTTGTAGTTGTAGTGTAGTGGAGTGTAGTGTAGAGTAATGTAGTGAAGTGTAGTGGAAGGTAGTGTAGTGTAGTGTAATGTAGTGTAGTGGAGTGTAGTGTAATGTAGTGTAGTGTAATTTAGTGTAGTGGAGTGTAGTGGAGTGTAGTTGTAGTTGTAGTGTTGTGGAGTGTAGTGTAGTGTAGTGTAGTGTAGTGTAGTGTAACGTAGTGTAATTTAGTGTAGTGGAGTGTAGTGGAGTGTAGTGGAGTGTAGTGGAGTGTAGTGTAGTGGAGTGTAGTTGTGTAGTTGTAGATGTAGTGTTGTGGAGTGTAGTGTAGTGTAATGTAGTGTAGTGTAGTGTAATGTAGTGTGTAATGTAGTGTAGTGTAGTG